TCCACTCCACCAGCTTGCCAGAGAGAAAAGGTACGCTCACTGGTCGGTAGTTCCCAGATACACCTCTGGAAATCTTTTCTGAAGATGGTCTCAACTGAACTCCATTGCTAAAACTACAAAACAATTCATATTCAGATTTCCTCATTGTCTGCTCTCTGTTTGTGGGCTACACCAATCACTGGGCTTTCCTGCTTGCCCTGTAAGTCTATTGCCTACATTGGCTCTGCCCTCATTTAAGCTACAAGGTTAAGTGCCCATCAGCAATGATAAAGCACAGGAAGCCTCCTTCACACCTTTAGCTGGAATGTCTCCGTCCCTCTCATAATGGCCACTCTCTGTATTGTTCATCATTGTGAATTCCACGCTCAAGATTTCATCTAGGGGAAAAGATATTTATTTGGCCATGTGACTACCAGCTGGGCTACCTCTGCCCCCGGCGCATTCTAGTGCAGCTGATGGGTAAGCAGCCCAGCTCTGCTGCCTCCCGCCCCTTGGCAATTCAGTGGAGGCAGCCCCTGGTACAATCTAGCACCAGGGATGGGGCAGCAGTCCAGCTGGGCTGGACTTGTCATCCCCAGCCTATGGTAGAAACGTTTTGTCTAGCCTCGTTTTGTTTTGAGGCTATTTCAACGGTCTTTCATTCCGATTTTGCTGTTTTGACCTCGAAATTGGTCAAAACAGTGTCGAAATGAAACAGCCAGTGAAATTTTGCATGGCCCTACTACTCAATTCCAAGATGAGGATTTTTCCCCCCATTTAACATGGGGTAAAAGCCCCTCATCTTGGAGTCATGTACAAGGTGGTGTGGGGGAAGGCAGCTGCTGCTTCTGCACCTCTGGGCCCAATCCTGGGTTGGGCCTGGAGCCACAGCTGCTGCCTCCATCCCCACTGGATCTGCACCCTTTTCCTTTCAGCCCCACAACCTCAGGCCCTCACCCCTCTTCACTTCCAAACTCCCTGCACCAGTTCCACTCTCCCAGCCACACCCCTGCTTACCTTTGCCCGAGCTCTGGCAGGCTCTATCCTCCCTGTAGCCTGGAGCACACAGCAGAGCCCCAGCCTGGTCCTGTAGCAGCAATGCCAGCTCTGTGCTTCTGCTATAGGACCGAGCAGGGGCTGTGCTCCCTGCCCCAGGCTGCAGCAGGGCCAGAGCCTGCAGGTGCCAGAGCAAAGGTATAGATGGTGGAAGAGTACAGGGGAGGCAGAGGCTTTGGGGAAGGAAGATCAGGTGAAAGAGCATGGGGGCCTGAGACTATGAGGAAGCA